TGATGAACACGAGTTGTTATTCGCGTCAGTCGCCGGCTCGAGAGAGCGCACGATCATTTACGGACGTCTTACTGATTCTGAGTGGAAAATTCGACGTTTTTTGTTTGTTTGCCGTTGAAATAGATGGAATTATCTCTTGGGGGCGTTATGAAAAAATGCTGAAATCTCTGTTTTACTAGAGATTGTATCTGTATCATTAAAGTTTGCTTTCTTGAAGACCAATAATGTTTTCGTTCGTTTGTTCGTTTCAGCCAAAAGACGTCCACTGCTGGACAAAGGCCTCCCCCAAGGATAAGTCGTGCGTTTGCTACTCCGCACACTGTCTATTGCAGTTTTTATTCCAATGACCACGAGGTCATAGCCATAAATGCGACTACTTACACCGTTAAAAGGGTCTCTTACATTTTAAACATAATTTCGGCGATAGGTAGTTTTTGGTGACTTAGAAAATATTTCTTACAATAAAAGATTCACCTACTTATGGCGTTTCGGCAAGCTTTTGTATTGCTCTGTAAGCAATACAAAAGCTTGCCGAAACGCCACCAGCCATCAGTCCTTAAAAATCACATGAAAGTAACAATTTCGGTAATTCAAATTCAAACACGCAATCATTCGTTACGGAAACAATAAAAACAATTGCGGCCATCCAAGAAACCGTTTTACTGCCACATTTTATAATCCAGCACACTTATAAACGATTCAAAACGCGATCCCTGGTGGGCGCCAATAAATTTGCCCTGCTAAAGTATTGCGGGATATTTTTTGCCGATACTAATCAATTTTGAGGGTTAGGGTGGAGCTATACTGAGGCGAACGCCTATAAAAGAATTTTTAGTTAATAGCATTTCTTGCAAACGTTGTTGGGTAGGTAAACACTTTCTAGAGCAACCTACGAGTTGTTTTTCCGTTATCCTCGTCAGCCGATCTAGTTCTAAGAAAAATCCAGCTTTTTTGAAAGAAATATTTTTTTATTTGGAGCAATGTTTGTTTATAGCTCGCTTATTTGGATTACAATACCTACTATGGTTGCGTGTGTAAATCTCACCAAGGTTAATATGATAATGATGCCGAAAGTTAGGCTTATTTCTATTATAGCAACGTATTTTTTTTTTGCAGAACAATGCAGTGATGTGACTAGTCTAGGATGGTACATAGCTGCCCTGTCATTTATCTCTTGTCTTGAAGATGCTCGGATTATAGTGTTTGATAAAGTAAGACGTCGTTAATCTTTTAATATTTTAGTATACTCGTAGATCATTAATTCAAACTTTCGATATTTTCTGAGACACAGGCAGCACAGTATAGCTCCACCTTCATAAGGAATGCGGACGGACAGACGTACCCGCGCTATTAGGTCAAACATACATCAGAGCGCGATAAAAGATCGGCTATCACAAGTTGCTTTCGCATAGTCTAGGGGACACGCTTCAATTGCTTTGCAATAACCGATGTAAGAAAACATAATATCAGAATACATCAATAATGCCAAATTACAATTTCATAGGATGTCACAGAATCTGCCGTGAATTTCACATCTGAAAATAGTTATTTAAATGCGTGTCATCATCCATTGAGATTAAAATGGCTCTTCAAATAACAATGTTGAGTTTTAATCACTCAGTTTGCTGACAGTATTGTAATGGTTTATCACAATGTACAGAACGCCATTTGGAATATTCTAGGAACTTGGCATGGCATCATTTCATTAATTATTTTTTACTAAAGTGAAAAATAAAAATATCTCTCAACTTTTGCTATCTTATTAACCAATTACATAAAAACATACTAAGAACCAAATGCAGGAGAGCTAAACTAACTGACATAGCTCGCAAAATTGCTAAATTCAAGTGGCAGTGGGCGGGGCACATAGGTCGTAGGAACGATGGCCGTTAAGGCAGGAAAATTCTCAAGTGGCGACCACGGGCTGGAAGACGTAGCGTGGGCAGGCCTCCTACTAGGTGAACCGACGATCTGGTAAAGGTTGTGGGAAGAGCCTGGACGCGGGCAGCGTAGGACCGATCATTGTGGAAAACTTTGGGGAGGCCTTTGTCCAGCAGTGGACGTCATTTGGCTGAAACGAATGAATTCTAAGAAACTATTGCATTTCCTATTACAATTTTACATTATGCCAATTTTAGACTGCCTTATTGAATAATCTCACGGTTTAACCTTGGTATTTATTACTAACGGTCCTTCCTCAACAAGGCTAAAGGCTTAATCCCCCAAGCTGTTTCGTATTTGCACCTTGTCCCCTAAACCTCACTCCGTATGCCGCTCTCGGCTCGCGGTCAAATGAAACCCCCCTAATCCCGCGATCTGTCTGGATCGCCTGATCGAAAGGTGGGCCTTAATCGCTCAATTGGAATTTATTTGTTTGTTTCTCGGAGATAAAACAAATTGTACCGATTGCCGCGCCGATCCCGCCAAGGATTTCACAACGCTCATTTGGATTGCAAATCTGTTTTCAATTGGACTGAGACTCGAAGATGGTTTATTTAGAATTGGCGATGGTAAATAAAGTCAAGAGTTCGAACTGTTTAAGTGCATTTTAATTTATAATTCGCGGTTGGGATGTCGATGGAATCTCTCGAGTGAGTGCACATTGAAAGCTTTTTTAGGACGTTTTGTAACAATAAGATCTCAAACCTTCAAACCAAATTGATAGTTTGTTCGTTCGTTCGTTTCAGCCAAATGACGTCCACCGCTGAACAAAAGCCTCCCCCAAGGATTTCCACCAAGACCGGTCCTGCGTCGCCACATCTAGTCACCTCCCGCGTCCTTCTTTACCAGAACGTCGGTACACCTAGTGGGGGGCCTGCCCTCATAACGTCTTCCAGTCCGTGGTCACCACTCAAGAACGTTTCTACCCCAACGGCCATCAGCTCTGCGAGCGAGAAAATTTCAGACTTTAATAATCCATTAACATTTGTTTTGGGTGCGTTGAAGTACAAACCATTCCTGTCTACAGAGTTGGAACTCTATATATATATATATATTTAACTTGTGGACAAGTTAAATATCCATTTGCTAAAACTACTCGTACTTACCATAAAAATATTTATCTGTCTTCAACCAAACACCAGAACAAAGCGTCAGCTCGGACAAAACCTAAAAACCGGTAGCGTTTAACATTAATTACCGCGGCGCAATCCAAATTTTGTAGTATTACTCTTGGGACACATGGGCAGGTAAGTTAGCGAGCAATATGAATGTTCGCTAGCTTTTTTATGCAGAACATGACATGCATTGGACCGCGATCACGCCTGATGATTAAGTGAGTCCTAGGGTGGTTCTAGGTGATACAATTTGAACTTCTTCTTTAACTATTGTAAAAGTAGATTATAACGACTGAAGTCACAATGTACTCGTAGGCCTCTTACCTTTCAATGCGCCGTAAACGTCTGCCACTATACTCTGCGATGTTACTATATCTACCATGGTTCTTTCCAATCAGTTATACTTAATCAAACTAGGGAATCGTAACACCCATGAATTCTGGATCGAGAAGGGATCACACGATGTACGATAAATAAATTATATTCTCGTAAAACACGTGCCAAAAGGCCTCTTGACACCGCCATGCAGTGTGTTTACATTTACGCATTTTAAAAAGAAATGTATAATTAGTTTACTGATGTGTCCATGTAAGACGATTATGCATTCAACTTGAAACTGCTTAGCATGAAAAACTCAGTCATTTAGCTGGGCATTTCGACATTAAGTTCGGCATTTAGTTCGTCATTTAGCTCGCCACACCGCAAGTCCGTGTGTCCACTTTAAACCGTTGCCAATGCGGCCCCGCTGCAGCCGGCTGAATTTATAGCGCACATTTACCCTGCATACTTTACACGCTGCACTCTTAACGGATAGTACATTACGCCTCCGTTTCAGCTGTGAAGTAATGCGTGCTGATGGTAGTGTTACGAGACAAGAATTTAACACGACCTGTGCAAGAAAGGATTTTTTCCTGGCGGCTTGGTGACTGGAATTGAACCGCCACCGGTGCAGACAGAGAAGATGGTGAATTGTCTGCACGTGGAAAAAGAGGTTGTCCGGCTTGCAGAAATTTATATAAGTTACCGTTCCTTGTGTGAAATTAAAAAAATGTAAATAAAACAGCTCCCTCTCAATTGACACAATTTATTTTTATCTTGTATGCTCGTATAAAGTTAACAATTACGATATTATAATAACTACTGTAATAGTGCCAATCTCAAGGGATTCAGGGTCGTTAATTAGGTTCGGTTTGGTGAATATTATTGCCACTACAAATTTCTTAAAACTCAGCCTAAATATTAAAAGACTCTACTAGTTAAGATAACTGCGCGAAGTCAGGTCGGAAAGACTCCTACTTGAAGGATGGAAAAGTGGGTACCTTGGAAGCCGTGCGGTTATAAGCCGTTACCCTGAACGTTCCTCTCTTCTTCCGGGGTCCAACGGGTCTCACACACTTTTAGGTTACAAGCAGCGTCCTCCACGGCCTCAAGCGCGCAGTGCCAGATGAAGCTCTTGCGTCTCCTCGACAGGAAAGCGTTCAAACTCTTGCAGAGACAGAGGTTTGATGACAAGGAGGAAATGCGAAGAGATCAGCAGTTTAGAAAGGAGAAATAATTTATACCAAATGATGAGAAATCAATATGAAATATTGAAATATCTAAAATGTCTATAAAAATAGTGTAAAATATGAAATCCGTATGCTCCTATATAGTTAACAATTACGATATTATAATAACTACTGTAATAGTGCCAATCTCAAGGGATTCAGGGTCGTTAATTAGGTTCGGTTTGGTGAATATTATTGCCACTACAAATTTCTTAAAACTCAGCCTAAATATTAAAAGACTCTAATAGTTAAGATAACTGCACGATGTCAGGTCGGAAAGACTCCTACTTGAAGGATGGAAAAGTGGGTACCTTGGAAGCCATGCGGTTATAAGCCGTTACCCTGAACGTTCCTCTCTTCTTCCGGGGTCCAACGGGTCTCGCACACTTTTAGGCTCCAAGCAGCGTCCTCCACGGCCTCAAGCGCGCAGTGCCAGATGAAGCTCTTGCATCTCTTCGACAGGTAAGCGTTCAAACTCTTGCAGAGACAGAGGTTTGATGACAAGGAGGAAATGCGAAGAGATCAGCAGTTTAGAAAGGACAAATATTTGATACGAAATGAAGAGAAATTAAAATATATGAAATATCAACATGTAAAATATGAAATCTATGAAATCGTAAAATACGAAATTTGAAAATTCCCAGCATCTGAAACGAAAAACACGAGTGTCAGGATCACATGTGGAACGTGGCATTAGGTTATGAAAAAAAACCGCAATGGGAAAGAAATACTTACGAAGACCGTTCGCTAATCTGAGCCTCACTCACAGTCCTCAGCATCCCAATACCCTCAACCGAACAGGATTTAGGGAATTTCTGAAAGAAACCATCACATAAAATACCACGTACTGGAATACGAAAAATATCAATCACGAAAAATAAATAAATTCTCCGACGGGAACTTACCTCATGTGTGAACCTATAGTCATAATCTGCAGGTGCAAACTCCTCAACCAATAATTCACTTAGTTCCTTCCACGACGAGACCTGATCTTTGACACCTCTATACCATAAAAGTGTTTGATCATGGAAAAAACAAAACGCCGACTTAAATAAAACACTATCAGAAACACCAAAAGCTGTCGCGCGTTCATTAACTAATTCCAAAAAGGAATGCACACTGGAATCAACTGAAAACTTTATGTTCCAATTTAAAATATTAACCTTCGATGACTGGTCCACAACAACAGTTTCCCTACAATCGTCTGACTGTAAATTGGAACTAGATTCCCCATCTGACTTGTTTGTGACGAAGCCTTCTAAAACTGAAAGGCACATGTTCAACTTCTGTTTTAAACTAGCATGAATAGCTGCGTCAACAGATTCCTTACACGCTGCTAGCCTATCCAGTCGGTGAAGCAAGTGGCAATACAAAGCCTTCGAACGAGTCAGCTGATACCGCTCCTTAGTCTTCTTGAAATTATCTAAGTGTGATTGTAATTCCTTTAACTTGCCAGAAATATTGGGCAATTCCACACTAGGTTTAAGTTCTTCATCAATAATTTCCTCAGGACTAAACTCAGAACACAATGACTTAAGTTGTTTTTTCATTTTGGGAACTGTATCTTCCGGAGACTCAGATCGAACAGTTATCTCATAAATAAGTTCGTCGCGTAATAATGAATGGTAGTAAACCGTTTTGGTATCCATTGTAAAAAGCTATGTGTAAAATAAACTAAGTGGCAAAAATATTATTTAAAAATTTTTGAATGAAAATGAATTTAAATTGTCAAATTTGTTGAGAATGGCACCTTACAAGATTGGATAAAACCTCTCACTTATGTTCTAAAACACACAATAACAACAATAATGTTATTGTTTAAAAAAAATACAAGTAATAAACAAGTATGTAAATAATTTACAAAAAAAAACAATGTACTAGGTAACTTCAAATTAATGTTATATGTCCGCAGTGACACAAAGGAAATTGTTACCTTAGTACAAAATAACAGGTAAATAGGTACTTTGTTATCCTATTACATAAACTAATTTTAAATTTCAACAAAAGTGTTTGTCCTTGAAAAATTAATTAAAATTAAAGTAAGTAACGGGTTATATGTTTACATAAAGAAACACAAAAGCAGTGTAGGTATACTAAATTGATAACCTAACAATAAAAATGTTACTTACTTGTCCCAACTATAAAACAAGTTTCAACTCAACAAAATAACCAAACATTATGTAGTTCCTCATAAATAAGAGTAAGTACGCTCTGTTATAAATAGGTTATAAGTTTATGTTGTTAACAAAATGTGGGCCACAAAAATAAAATACAGGACAAACACAACACACAACATGAGAAATTCCCTAATTACAATAATAAAATAACTAAATAAAAGTGTATGAGAGGATAGTCAGCAAACAATGTCGCTTCTTTTATTAACCATCCACCCATAAACCTTTTACAAAAAGGGTGGCAATAATAAACACCAAAGATGGGCGCCACTGCAAGAAAGGATTTTTTCCTGGCGGCTTGGTGACTGGAATTGAACCGCCACCGGTGCAGACGGAGAAGATGGTGAATTGTCTGCACGTGGAAAAGAGGTTGTCCGGCTTGCAGAAATTTATATAAGTACCGTTCCTTGTGTGAAATTAAAAAATTTAAATAAAACAGCTCCCTCTCAATTGACACAATTTATTTTTGTCTTGTAAGCTTGAATACAGTTGACAATTACGATATTATAACTACTGTAATAGATAGTGCCAATCTCAAGGGATTCAGGGTCGTTAATTAGGTTCGGTTTGGTGAATATTATTGCCACTACAAATTTCTTAAAACTCAGCCTAAATATTTAAAGACTCTAATAGTTAAGATAACTGCGCGATGTCAGGTCGGAAAGACTCCTACTTGAAGGATGGAAAAGTGGGTACCTTGGAAGCCATGCGGTTATAAGCCGTTACCCTGAACGTTCCTCTCTTCTTCCGGGGTCCAACGGGTCTCGCACACTTTTAGGTTACAAGCAGCGTCCTCCACGGCCTCAAGCGCGCAGTGCCAGATGAAGCTCTTGCATCTCTTTGACAGGTAAGCGTTCAAACTCTTGCAGAGACAGAGGTTTGATGACAAGGAGGAAATGCGAAGAGATCAGCAGTTCAGAAAGGAGTAATAATTATAGAAATCAATATGAAATATTGAAATATCTAAAATATGAAATGTAAAATCGTAAAATATGAAATATCAAAATGTAAAATATGAAATCCCGCATCTGAAACGAAAAATACCAGTGTCAGCATCACATGTGGAACGTGGCATTAGGTTATGAAAAAAACCGCAATGGGAAAGAAATACTTACGAAGACTGTTCGCTAATTTAAGCTTCACTCGCAGTCTTCAGCAACCCAATACCCTCATCCGAATAGGATTTAGGGAATCTCTGAAAGAAACGATCACATGAAATAACCACGTACTGGAATACGAAAAATATCAATCACGAAAAATAAATAAATTCTCCGACGGGAACTTACCTCATGTGTGTTATTTTTATTTATTCATCAAGAAATTATCGTGGATGCATTTTGCACCACCCGATTTGAAATAAAAGGAATTACATTCCCGAAAATAATCAAATTGCGGTTGCGCACGATCGACAAATTCCTAAGTGATTTGACAGCTCCACTGACAGCCGCTCTGTCATAGACATCGCGATACGTTTCGTTTCGCCGTTTGAAAAAGTAAATACTGTACTAATAAAACCATGATGAAAACAATTTCCAGAACACTGAAAATATTCTATTTGAAAAATAGAATAATCAATATAAAAACACTAGGAAATGTTTCATCAAAATATATTTCAATTAACTGAGCAAAAAGCGCCATCTATTGCAAATTAATTCTAAATCACGCCAATAGATGTCGCTAGTGGTATCCAAAATCAGAATATTGAGAAGAAATATTAATTTGTGAAAAAACAGCAAACGGCAACGTTACACCTGGTCAACATTCCAATCTTAGGCGTTCGAAAGAAATAGTTAGCAAGGTAAAAGTAAATGCCTCAACAGGATTTCAAGGTCGAAATGTGTTCTAAACTATGTTCATTCGGCCAAATGACGTCCACTGCTGAACAAAGCCTCTCCCAAGGATTTCCAAAACGACCAGTCATGCTTTGCTTGGAAACTACTTAATATTATGTATTCTTCTAACCGTTGGATAATTCCTGGCAATTAGTGGTGACTGACTTTGTTTCGGCGTTTCTTCTCAGCACTTGCCATTTGTCTCGAAGCGCTAGTAGGGCCCAAAAGATAAGGAGACATGTAAAGTGCCCCAGGGCTACCTTTTCTTTTTTATTATTTACTATATTTTGACGTTCATAATTGCCACTTGTGGTCTAAACTGAACAAATATTTTTGATTTAGATTTTTTGATTTTGTATCTATGTCTATTAAACATAGAAGAAACCAAAGGTAAACTGGTCGAGAACGCTTTAGTGCATTAAGTTCGCCTTATGATCAATTTTATTTGGCATTAAATTTTAAACAAATAAACAAGATATTGGAATTGTAACCAAGCAATTCGCTACTACGCATGTGCTCGTAGTATGATCTCTTTTTCGTTGCTACGTCGTAGCAAAGTGGCGGCTACGGAAAAGATTCGTAGACTTGCTGTCTGTTTTTCAAATACATAATATTTCGCCACGTTTATTGAAAGAAAGAAAGAAAGAAACATTTATTACGATGAACATCACTTAGTTAAGAACAAAGAAAGTATACAGCTGAAGGTATATTGCTGTAGTGAATGAGATTTTCTGGAATTTCCATTGTTTTAACTTGGAATGAAAAGTTCTTAAATTCTATTACTAGCTCTTTTAATGTTGAATATTCTGTTTATATCATGGGATTTATAACCAAGTTTTTTGATTTATTATCGGAAAATGTTATAAATAAATCTAATATAGACTACTCATTTCTTTGAATTCGGTTCGGTTAAAGGACTCTACATACTAAACCTGGCAGCTTTATACCAAATGTTTCTATGTACAGACGACCACATATCAAGTAAGAAACTGGCATCTTAAACAGTTGTACTATAGTCCATGTGCCATTAACTGTACCATCGTTTGTGTTATTTTAGTAATGACATAGTTGCGGGTCCAATGACAGTTTAACTTTCCCCCGGGACAAAGTTGACCGTCATTGGTTGGGTTTTTGTGGCGGTCAAGCTGTAGATCCTGGCTACACGGGAGTTGCAGTGGTGGGAACGAGAGGTGGGAATAGTCCCGTTTAGTAATCACTGTAAAATCACTTCCAACCCTGAGTTACGCCTACAACTAATACCTAGCTAGTAAAATTACAACGTTAGCAATTAGTGGACTAATTAATTCGGTAACCGCACATTAAATATCCAATTTCAATTACTCGGGAAGCCTCAGCAACCGCGGCCGAACGAAACGACTAACTAGCAAGACAATGTATGGAACGTGATTAAAAATACACATCTAGAGACTGCGGTGGTTGTAGACGAGCGTGAAGACGCTGCGTTTGACACGCTGGAGATCATAAGCAGTTTTTTTGTAAGTGTTGTTAGTTGAAAGTGTACGGTAAAAAAACTGGAGGTCCATTTCCATTATTCAATAACCACGTTAAACAATGTAGTTCCAAAACCAAAATTTGTACTTATCTTGGTTTTGGAGCGACATTTTTTATTTGTAATAAATAATTAATAAATATCGCAAAACAAAACAATATAACAAATAATGGACTATGTACCTACTTTAATAAATGCACTTGCTTAATTTTTTTACTTCGTAAAATCATTTTTTTCTGAAAAGCATTATTTCAAGCAACTTAATATACTATAGGTAGGTACCTACTATTGTTTTTTGTACTTGACATTTTTGTGTCTGCACGAAAGGATGCAATTAAAAAACCGCTCGTATACAAACAGTTAGTCAAAGCGACTTCCCGTTTAACAATGCACC